GTTAAGCAGACGGGGCACTGTTGTAACGTTGGAGCCATCTGTGATTAAAAACAACCAAGAAACGAGGGAAAGGAAACAAACCAAGTGGGGTGGATGGATGAATGAATGGATGAACAAGCGAATGACTAAAGGAACGGGCCAGCGAACAAACGAATGAATGAGTGAATGATGGGGGAATGAATGAGCTAATTACTGAACGGACGAGTGATGGAAAAAAAGAATGAATGAGTGAATAAATAAATGAATGAATAAACAACCGAACGAATGGATGAATGAATGAATACATGAATGAGTGACGGAATGAATGAACGAGCGAACGGATGAGTGACTGAATTATCTTTAAATATTTAACCAGTGTTTCAACTTTTATTTATATTTTTTTTTCTTTTCTTTTTTTTATTGATGAATGAATGAGTGAGTGAGCAAATGAGTGAATGAGTGAATACAAAAACCTAGGTAACAGTGTGGGAGGAGACAACTATTGCAGCAAACTTTGGCCCAATCTCTCCCTTATAGTTTATTTTTTTTTACACAGATTGTAAAAATTGGTTTAGGAAATTTCTTTTTTTATAAATAAATTTTAATTTTAATTTAAACTTTAAATTTTAATTTCAAAAATAAATTAAAAATAAATGTCGGTAGAAGGTAAATAAGTTAAAATGTAGTGAACTTTCCGATAATAATAAAAACAGCTCACACCTGGCGCAGGCCGGTGACCTGTAGCAGCTATGAGCTGTGAATAAATTATAGTATTGATAAAACAAAAAACGAGAAAATTGGCCGAGGCAGGGCAAAAAAAGGATAAAAAATGACGGAAAAACAAACCCGGGACAAAATTACAGCCGATGACCCCAAAAATCATCTATAAAAACAATTTAAAATCTATGAATTTAGCAAAAATAATCAGGAAATTAAAACAATCCAGCCGGCTTTGAATGTGAACATGAATATGTATGTATGTATGTACGTATGTATGTATGCGTGTGTGTGCGTGTGTGTGTGTGTGTGTGTGTGTGTGTACGGCTGTGCATGTCAGAATGTTTCATATATCAAAGTTACAACAATATCGCTAACCAGACGTCTGACCATGCACAAAATGGAAAGTTCTATAAAAACACACTTAGAACACACATGCAATATTGAAATTACAAGAGAAATTCTTGATAACAACGCCAAAATAATGTACTGTAATTCTAGCCATTCCCTTTTTTTCTTCCATTCCCGAAGCCATTCTCATCGACATAAAACAACCCCGGATAATCAACAATACTCCCGACAAGAAGTATAAAATATTAATGAAATATGAAAGTATGAAATATACTAATAACACCATTGGAATCGATGAAGACACTGAAAAAAGTAACATCGACCAAAGTCCTTTCAAAGTACAAGTAAATGATAGGTACCAATAAAATAAGCACAATAAGACATAAAACCGAAGCAATAAAACATAACACCAAAGTAATTAGCCCAAACAAAGAAGCCATATCAATTAATAACGAAAACAGTAAAATTAGCAGCAGAAGCAAATAAAATCACCATTACCTTAAAAATGAAATTAAAAAAATCCTATCAAAAGATTGAAGCAATTAAAATTTTAACAAAGGATATTTAATTTTTCTATAGCATGACTCTGTGATTTTCATGTCAATATCATTTTAGAAAACCACGGAGTCGGAAAAAAAATTTTCACAAAAATATTTTTCAACTTTCGCTTCATAATAATACTTAATGAGTACCAAATGAAATATACTTAAAAAATCAAAATCAGTCAATGTAATTGTATATCTTAGTGAAATTACATTATAATATAAAACATTACTGAAAGAAAAGTATGTGACATTATTCTCATTATTTTTAGTTTTAAAAATGATTGCATATTGCTATACATATATATCATTTAAAAACACGAGGTCAAAAATTATTTTTAGAATGAAAAAACAAATCAAATTTTTGACGATTTTTGACAATTGACAAAAGTCGAATGAAAACTATTAAACTCCGACAGGCCACTCAAAAAATTCCGACTCCGACCGAGTACAAAATTTTGACTCCGACCCAACATTCGAAACGACACTCAAAAAAAATTTTCAACTTTTGCATTATAATTTTATTTCAATATCACTACTAGATAAAAAAAAATAGTTTAAAAACACTCAAAATCAGTCAATGTAATTGTTTTCATAACTTAAATTACTATAATTCTAATTATAACGAAAGATATTTTTGCTTTTTTTTCAATAAAATACACACGTGTATTCAATTATTTAATAATTTGCTAAAAGATAACAACTGTTAAATATGATTTAACACTGATTTACACCCTTTATATATATATATATATTAGTAGCAAATTTTGAAACACAAAGATTTAGTGAAAATTTTTCACTTTGAAAATGTCAATGCCCAGCTGATTTCTACTACATCTAATGCCTCGAAAGAAATGTTGAACCTTTGTCATATTGTGCCTAACACAATGTAAATGAACGAACCGAAAAGTATTTAAACAAATAATGCTCACATAAAGATTTTATGTTTCAGATTTCATGTAAATAAAAACTTTTTTCCTACTAGAAATTTTTAAGTTATGTTTTATTTTTAATATAGATGGGTTGAATGGATTGATTTATACTTAAAAAGTTTATTTGGAAATTTTTACTGATTCTGCATATGTTAGAGTTTGATTTAAAGATTATGGAGTGAATAAGTAATAAAAAAAAATGGATGTGTGATTGTTTGATAATTTGAACAGGTAATTTGAAACGCTTCACCGAAATAATTTTGCCAACCAGGGAGGCATTTATCGAAACAGGATGTCCTCAGAAGAACGCATCAACATCGAAAATTCTGATGATAACTCTCCTGATGGAAATGGTTATCTAACCTCACCCACGAATTAAGATCACAAGTCATAAAAACAAAAAGTTCGACAATCCCAGCAACCAGATGACATCTTCCATGCAAGTAGAAAGAAGAAAAACATTCTCATGCTTATGCTACTGATCAGTAAATGAATTTAAAAGTCTTTTATGAATTTAATGATTTGCTGTTTGAATTTGGTTGCTTCTATGACAATTCTTGAAACAACATTATTAAAATTGATTTTTATAACATAAAATACATTAAGTTATTAATAAATATATGAGTAATTTATAATTGTTTCTCCGTAAACATAAAATTGATAAAAACTACTAACCGGTTTCCACTTGTCTTTGGCCAAATTGCGTTTAGACTTAAAAATATTTCTTCTCTTAATTGTTCTATTTAAATCCGTTTAAATTTATTTCAAAAGATGAAATCACAAACATTTTCAGTGAAAAATAAGCAGTGCACACGTGTTCTGATGTCTTTCAATCTTTCACTAGAGACTGCACTGCGATTAGTGTTTTTTAATATTTTAAAGAAACCGATCACGATTCAATGCGAGTTCATGGAGAATTCGCATATAAATGTTCCTAAACCTCATTGGCGGAGAGGAACCAATAAGGAGAGAGATGTAGACAAATCATCCAATCAGAATGAAGCATGTTTGTTTAAACGATGTTTGTCATGTTTGCTTATGCTACTTATATTATTCTGTTTAATATAAAAGTAAATAATCATCTTCATTAACTAGAAATAATCATCTATCATTACAAGATTAATTTAAAATGTAAAATGAAATTTGAACATATACAGATATATATATATTATATATGTATATATATATACAGATGTATATATATATATATATATATGTATATATATATCCAAATTTATATGTTTAACAACTGTGTTTGAAAATTTACGCATTTTTTAATATTAATATGTTAGCATTAATTTTTAACACCATATCTTTGAAACTTGTTTTTTTAAATTTAGTGACCAATTTCAAAAGAGTTTTGATGAAGTATTAAAAAATTTATCATGTAGAGAAATACTGTTTTCTTAATTTTATTTCGTGAACCTTCAATCTATATAACAAATTCTATCTTAAAGACAGACTTTTATTTTCGTAACGCTGATAAATAAACTATAAGAATCGTCTTTAAAACAATTTGCAATTCATTTAAAATCGTAATTTTCTAGCTCAAGAAATGTATTTGTTTTAGGTGTTTAAAATAATCAAACACAATTTTTAATACTTGTTTGGTTGTTTTTATGAAAATATAAACTGTATGTGTTTTCTCTTTAAGAATAATTTTTCGTTCGAATTTTTTTATGTCTGTTTTGTATTGACGAGCATTTGCAGGTCATGCAAAGTTCAGTGCTGACACTAGGCAAACAGATCGTTGAGAGGGCTGGATGCAGAGATGGATGTAGTAGTCTCAAACAACACTAATAATTTGTCAAATATTGAAAACAAACAGTGCAAGCAAACAAAATTGTAAATGTCATTTTAACGTTTCTGTCGACTATTACCATAAAGAAGGAAATGATTTTACATTTACTATGTAACAATCAAATAAATTAAAGAAATCAAAGCGTGGTTAGCACTTGATTTTATTGCAATGTGTAAAAAATAACTTTGTCACAATGATAAAATGTTAATGAAAATAACAGTGTGAAGTTTTACTCCCAACTGATATTATTAGAACTAAATCAACGAAAATCACTTAAATCACCCGAACTTTTGAATATTATTTCGCAGTAGCAAAATAATTTTTTTAATTTAAAAATAATTTTTTTAATTTTAATAATTTTTGAGTCTCCAGTGCAATTTTCATCGTAAACCATTTGTTTCTTGTTTTTACAATTGATTAAAATTACAAAATTATTGACTGAGAGTCACACAAACCACACAAACATTTGAAAATATAAAAAATTTCTGAACGAAACATTTAAGCGTTCTCTGTAAGATGGAAAAAGAATTGAGATGCGTAGTGCCAGTGCATCACATCATGATGGTGCACGATATAATCAAACTATCGACAACATGTCAGCCGATGAAGGCCAGATAACAAGAAGATTTTGAAAGAAAAACGTTTTATTCTTCCAATTCAAGAGTTTTTTCAATGTGGCTAAATTCGGTTTTATTTCATTTTCAAGATTGAAGTAAGACTTTAGTTTTATAGTGCAGTTAATAATTATTGACAACATTTATAATTGTCGAGTTTATCCATTACATTAATTTAATTTGAAATAAATTTTAAATGCTTTATTAAATTTCAAGCACTTTTTTATAGCGTTAAAAATTGTTTTTTTCACAAACTTAAAAAATCTTTACCAATGCCACTAATTATTTAATTACTAATTTGCATTAAAAATTGAATATTACTTCAAGAATCCAACCGATGGTATCCAACCAAACAAATATGGTATTGCTTTTCAACTAAACATTTTCCGCCCTTCTAATAAAAATTTTTCAATTCTTATTGCTTGGAAAATGTTCTTGCTCCAAATTAATTTCCTATTTTTTGATTAAAATTTGAAAAAACAGGCTCACGCTAAGATAACACTCCCATTTAGAGATCATTTAAAACCAGTAAATGTCTATTTCTTTGTTATAATTATTTATTATTATTAGTGTTTTAAAAATTACTTATTTGGATTATGGCCCATTGCTTGTGGCTCTATAATAAAAATTGTGTTTTTTCCTGAATGGTGAACGGTCTTCAAAATTTTCAAGAGCACTAATGGATCTTAAGTAATTGTGTTGTTGCGTCACTAGTGGAATCCACGGTTAAAAAATGTTTGCGATTTTTATTTGTGTTATTCAGTGCTACCCATTGATTTAGATATAAAAAACTACTAAATACG